TCTTTCCCTCTGGTTTTAAACAACGGTATGGTTGTATGTCAGTGTTTGATGGAAAATGTTAAGAAGGAAGATTTTTTTGTAATAGTTACAGATACACACGAATGTGGTAACATCATAAAGACGTGCACGGGAATTAAACATTTTGAACTGTGGAGGAAAGACGACAAGACTGGGGAGGGACGCACTGGAGGTTTCACCTGCGTCTTTAACGTTTTAATAAATAAGAAGAAACAAGATACTAACATTTGAAATATGTGGGTACTATACACACAGTTGTTTATTTTCTGTAGGATTGAAATATTCCACAATAACAGCAACAAAAATCACAAGGGATGATCTATAACTTCGATGATGATTTCTATGCCACCTATGCAATGCTGACACAATATTTATTTATCACAATAAATATTTATCACAAATATTTATTTCCTGCCCAGAAATCTCTCCAGATTCATACCTTCAAATGCCACCAGGATAACCAATCCCTCCACAGGCTCAAAGCTGAAATCAATATCTCCATTCCACCAGAACGAAGCCAAAACCTCTCTTCTGCCTATATTCTCAAAATTGGTGACTGATACTACTACTATGTACTGCTTTACCCCCAAAATGTAAGAAATACGATGCCTCACAAAAGCAAGAGTGATAGAGTATGTCACGTTTTTTAACACAGAGTTGCAAAACTCTATGAACATAATAAAAACCACTGAATTATACATTCATATGGGTGAATCAGATGGTGTTTTGAAGTCCATCTCAGTAAAGCTTCTGAAAAACAGTATGGCAACAGAAAGCAGGAAATGCTATTACCGAAAGATATTTGTCCATTTATTTTTCAAAATATGAAAAACAATACTAGTATTCAGAGAAAAATGTTGACTATTTTCCTGGAGACTTAAGTGGCTTTTCATACCTATAATCCAACTGTCTGTCCTAGAGGAAAAATGACTGGGTGACTTCTCAAGGTTCAATACCCAGCATCTAGATTTCAGATGAACAGTATTCATTTTTAATTATCTAAATTTTTCTTCTCTAATATAAAAACTACTCATGCTTTACAAAAATATCAGTACCAAGACAGTCGCTCCTTGACCATGAAGCGAACTCATACTACAGACTCCTAAACCCGGGATGTGAACCATCCCCAGCTCAAGTTTTAAGACTCGGAGATGCCACAAGATGGACTTCTACAGATTTCACCTGTTATTACCACTTGGCTTTTAATAGTTATTTTATGCACACACGCACACACGCATAGATATTTTTAAGTTTGCTTACTTGAACGAATGGGGTATTCCAGATCTGGATGCTTTCAGTCACATTTGAATGATAAAGATAGTAGTTGCTAATGATATTCATCAATACAGGTAAAGAATAAACCATAGTACCGTTGAAAACAGCAGTAAAAACATAGTCCTACAATTCAAAAAAATAGAGTTATTATACAGTAAACAGAAATATAAATGACTATATGATTGCTATATACCAAGCGTTTCTCACCAGCTTAGTTAACTCTCACTAACTGTACTGAAAACTGGTCCAACAAATCATAGAAATAATACTCAATGATAGACAAAAATAACCTGGTTTGGAATCTAGATATTTTGATATTTTAAACAAAAAATGACATAAAAATAATTAAATTCTTCAGAGCTTTATTTATTGGTCCTCCATCAGGGCATAAAATATACCCTAAGTAAACACAGCCAGCTATTTCCAAAAGTAAATTTTAATTTCCAACTAATAAGGTCAAATCAGCAAACAACTGATTTTAGAGGAAATATCTTAATCCCACACACTACTCTTACCTTTTCTGACTGCATCACATTTAAAGCTGCGCTGTGCGGAGCGGCAGACACGTAGTCACTGTCATTAAACATTGTCACCATTATGTTCTGGTTGGTGAAAAACCTAAGAAGATCACTGATATCTGAGTCTGGTATTGGAAGATAAGCAAATAACAAAGAATCAGTTTAAATGAGAAACAGACACAGGCTTTTAGTAACATTTAGAGCTCTCTCTTTTTTTTTTTTTTTTTTTTTTTTTT